CCTAACCTCTGGTGGAATCATTTGTCGAACCTATTTATAAAAAAAAGATCTATAACAAAGAAAAAAGATCTTGATGATTTGTGTAACAAAGGTGTCATAAGTGAAGAGTACCATGGATTATACAGATCTTTGGCTACAGAAACAAGCCAATCTGATCGTTTTCCTTCAGAAACCATTCTGATGACTCATCATGTGTAAGCGAGTCAAGTGCAGATGAATAATACTGATTTTTTTACACTTATTTATTTAGGAATACTATCGGCCGCCAACGAATTCGTCCGCTTTAACTTTAATATACATTTTTAAACTAGATATTTTAGATAGAAATACTACTGCACCCGAAATATCGAACCTACATCATAAACCGAAACTATTTAATATACCTATATTGACTCAAGGATCTCTAAAAACTTATGGATGTATCATTTCGGCGATACTTTCATTCCCTGGATTCTTATCGGCATTACTGTCCACCGAATCAATTGTCCCCATATCACTGAAATGATATACTTACTATTTGGCGGGAATCCACAATGACGTTGTTGCGCGTGCGTGTGCTCCAGCGAAGGCGGACTGGCTCGAAGTGAGCACTGACAAGCGGGACACAACCACGCAATGTAGACGAACCTATTTCACAGAAACTTACTGTCCATGGAAATGATAACTTTTTCCAGGACAAAAGTTGAGTGCTTGTTACATGTATAAGGAAGAAAGTAAACAAACAGTAGTAGGTTTTGTTGATAGGCTATATTATATATTAATGATATAAAAGTTAATTTCAATCGAAAAAATAAATGTAACTACAGGGGAAGTAATTTGATTAGAGGAATTGGGTTTAGGACAGGTCACCGTGATGATAAAATGCCACATCGTATTTTTTTATTTTATGGAATAGAGCCCATTCATTACTCAATAATTCTTATTGAGAAGGTTGAGAAGTACCTACCTAACTTAGAAAAAAAGTCAAAATCATAAATCAGCACATTGCACTGCCACTTTGAGCAATGCCGTGTATTTTTTTTTTTTGCTTGAGGAGTTCACCTCTGCATTCTTCATTGGAATTTAATTAATATGTTTCGGGCATTTTTTTATTTCCTTTTTCATATAACAATCTTGACAAAAAAAATGATTTCAATTTTATTATATGATAATGTACAAGAATATGTGTTGCATATTGCAAATATATGTTTTAAATGCAAATTTTGCGCTGAACACGATGAAATAAAAATAAATGTTAAAGTTGAATTGAAATCAATTTTTATATCGTTTATTTTTCGTTATCTTTCTTAGTAGTTATCATTTTAAACCAAATACGCAGAATAGTTCACCCAGTAATGTTTATTAATGATTAATTAAACAAAAAAATAACATTGTTGCCCAGCGCGCGATTCAACAATGAATGAATAAAAGTGAGCAACTCACTCCCTAGCGCGCGATCTGTGCACGGAAGAGACGGTTAAACATGGATAGCTGATTTTAGTTGAAGCATAAATTTTAAAGTAACGATGTCTAACGCTATTAAATTATAGTGGAAGAAAAGAGTGAGCACCGATAATCGATTTTAGCTTAAGTAATTTATAAAGCGTTGAATAAAAGTTATTAACGTAAGTATACTATATATTTGTTTTTGAAAAAAGCGACTTAGATCTGTCAATTTTTACTTCATCTAGTAAAATTAAAATATCTGGTAAAATTCAAACAGTCAAAGCCAATTACAGGTTACTCACAGGATATTTACTCTAAGTGTCTACATGAAAAATGAGTTTAAATCCGAAACTTGGTTTCAGCGGTAATACATTTACAAACTTAAGTCTATTGAATGGTTTTAAATCAAGAATTTTGGAAATAGTTTGCAGTTATTCTGTTTATTCATTAGCTATTTCAGGAAGTATGCGTCGTAGATCATAATGGGTTTTACCTGTAGATGCGGCTTAATGAGACGGGTTGATTGGTATTATAAAAATTCAGTAGCGAAAAGTGCAGATAATCGGTTTTGGCACTAAGGGGACGATTTACTAATACACTTCTCGTTTTCTAAACGCACTTTGTTCGTTATTTTGAAAATGTACATATTCATAATTTTAGTAAGTAATAATAATTAATAGGAGTAACAATTAATTAATTCTTCGTTAACAATTCTTTTTAAAAAATAATGAACAAAAATATTTACAAAGAATAAGGAAATTTATTTAAATTCAAAATAGGGAACCCTTCTACTACAAAGGCGATGTTCTTGGCTGTATCATTTCGGTGGTCATTTTTTACCATTTCGGTAGACAATTTTCATATCAGTGAACTGCCGAAAACTCATCCTTAAATATTTCAGTAAGTGGTGATTGTTGAATTTGACCCGTAGGATCGTTTAAAAATGGAAAAAAAAACATAAACAATATATTTTATTTTTTTATTTTGCACCTTTAATTGCATTTTGTGCAAAAACTATGGAAGATACGCGAAAATATGTTGATACCCTTTTTGTAGGAAATTAAATTTTCTACAACTTTGTACTAGGAACTTTTTCTATTTTTCCAACTAGTCGCGAGATATTGACGAAAAACTCGTTTTTGCACCATTTCGCATTTTTTTTGCACCCTTTGCCGTCAATGCAGCACCCTGCAATTTTAGTATATTAATCTACGAACCACTCAAAATGGCAAAGTTAAGGCTTCATTGACTGGACTACATTGTTATATCCGGCCTTTAAACAAAAATCTGTTTTTAAGCATGTAAATTATCATAAAGTTTCCCGGTTATGGAAAACAATTTAAAGGTAATAATTGAGCTGCCTTCTTATATGAGGATAAATGGGGATTGAAGTTAAAAAAGTACTTAAATACGTTAATTACACTGTAGTTTAATATAAAAAGTATTGACTTTGTTTGGATAATCTGTTTAAAAATAGAAATAATGTCTCCTTAATGCACAGTAAACAATATACATCAGGTTACCACAATTTTCATCATCAATTTTATCTTTACTATAATATTGGACCTGGTAAGAACTTCAAATTTTGCTGACTGTACTTACTGTATTGCCTGCTTTTCTGTAAAACAAACTCAGTTACTTTTCACCTCGGAATGCGCGGTGTGATTTAAAATTAGGTGAAAAGTAACTTTGTTCTTACTGAAGAGCACTTCAGACCTGACTTCGCACAGACAATGTATCTTGATTTTATTTTCAAAACATTCACTAACTAAATAGCTAAACAATATATTTATTTGACCTAATTATTATTATTTAATAAGTATCATTGGCCATCGGATTTAAATCTAAAGGTGTGAATTTTGCAATTAAATAACAATAGTAATAAAAAACTAGAGGCCCAAGCACGAACTTTGACAGTTCCGTAATCGTATCTTAAAGTTTCTATGAAAACCTTAGTAAAACAAACAAGGGAAGATACGGCACTCGCGGCTCAAAAGTGATCCGCTTAAATTTTGATGTATGACCACAATTAGCTTTAGTCACAATTGGACATTCAAACACGCTGCATGATCACTAAATATAACAATATTGCGTATATTCTGTGTTATAAAGATAAAACAATGCCTTCGATGCTTTTACTCGTATAAAGAACACAAATAGTTCAAAATCGAATAACAAATGCCTCGGCAACACTTTTCATTCGTTAAACTGTAAAAATATTTTTTTTTCTAATAAATCACGGTTTGTCGTGAATGTTATTTACGTAATCGCCATTTTGTTATCATGAAAAGGACAACAATACAGCGCAGCTGTACGGCTCCGATTACGTCGGCCTAGGCACGTCTTAGGCTACCTCGACGACGAAATCACACGCGCCAACGCGCCTCCGATTCCTCCCACACAGGCCACAAACACCAACACTACACAGCTAGCAATCGTGCACACTAGCTTAGCATTAGGCAGACACCGCACCCGTAGGATAAGAGTGCGAAGACCTGGTCTACACACGACACGCTATACCAGGTACAGGTACGTACCTGGGCGTTTTTCCCCGCCCCCCACGATAACGGCTAACTAGAGCCGAGGTCCGAGTCTCAGAGACGCCCTCTAGTTGAGCCAACCCCCTCAGGTTCGAGTGGTCTGGAGGGTCCAGACGGAGTGGAGACTTCCCCCGTGGGGAGACGCCTTCCGCCTGGAATACCTCTAGAGGCACTCGCCAATTCTCGGCTTGAGATCCCCATAGGATCTCGCCGCCCCCAAACCCGGTGTCGCTGTAAAGGTCATCTGCGACCAACAGCATACACACTCAAAAAAAAAGCAGCTGTACGGACTCGGAAGCGGACTCGCCGTTTCGTTCGCGCTGTCTTGAAGCTTACAGTTCTGTCTCGCTCGCTTGTTTGAATGTTTAAGTATCGTCGTGTGCGTGTGTGAGTTGCTTATATGTAGTTGAGTTGGATCATATTTTATTTGATGCTAGTATGAGCGTACCGTATCTTCCCTTCTTGTTTTAATCTAAGAAGGAAACTAAGCAGCGCCGCTACCGGACGTAAGAACAAACTGGCTCCTTCCATACAAAATTTTACGATGACGATACGATTATGGATCTGCCAAAGCTAGTGCTAGGGCCTAGTAGGAATAAAGTTAGAACAAAATTGATAAGAATTTGTTTCGAAAAGATTACAGCGCTTTCGAGGGTACCTTGAATATTGATGATGAATGATAAATTGATAACTCACGTAGGTAAGTTGTCTGTAGCTTTCTAACGTTGTGGTTGGTTGCGTATCAATAGTAGTGATGGGCGTAAATAACTGACGAAGGTTACAAGTTGTCCGTCGGGCTTCCTAAGGCTGGATTTATCCGTCTAGATATTTATAGTTGGACAGCACGTTGTTCAACAGCGTTTACCGCGTTTACAGAAATGGCGCTGCACAAACGTGAGACTTTGAAACGCAACTTTTAACCCCATACATCTCCGAGCTCGCACGCTCCAACGTCGCTGCCGAAACGCATAACGATAAAACCAACCTAACGTTGTGGTTGCGTACCAGTAGTGGCGAAGAGGTTGTAGAGCTGTGGCTATGTGTCGGCGGATGCGGGTGCGGTGGGCGGGGAGGGTGCGCGAGCGGCTGCAAGTGCGGCCGCGTGTCGTCGCGCCTTCAGCCGCAAGTCAGCTATCGAGGAGGAGCGGCAGCGAGCCGCTAGCGCCGCCAGGCCCGCGTACGGTGGACACAGTGCCGCTGCAGCAGCCGCTGCCGCACTCGCGTACTGTTAATAATAATTTATTTAAATCTATAGAAAAGTTTACTAGAAAAAGGCAGCAGACGGGACTCGAACCCGCACCGTTCGCTATCCGGGCGAATGCACTGACCATGCTATGCCGAATTTTCTCTAGCCTTAGGCTGCAAGGCAGCGCTATCTTTTCGCATTGTAGGTAACCCACAATGTCAAATGAATACCTTTACATATTATCAAGTTGTCACACAAACAACAAGCCATTGTGGCGTATTTATCATATCGGACGATTTTGGTAATTTATGGTACAATACTGGGACATGCGGCAGACTGCAACCGCTGGCGACTCTGTGGCTAGCGAGTCGCGAGCGAGCTAGTGTCGTTAGAAGTCTGCCGCCCGACTAGGGATTGCACCTTCAGTGTGGTAAAACTGAGATAAATTATATCATGTCGCGGTACTTATGCATGGGGGGCAGGTGCGAGATAAGCTATAGAATTGTTTTTCTAGTACAATTTTTCTTTAGGTCTCTAAATCGAGCAGATTAATGCATGAAATAACAAAAAATATAATGGAGAGACAAGAACGAGCAGAACTTCCTTGAAATGAAGTATTGGAACGGCCCATTCATCTTATCTGCCAAGTGAAACTTAATTATAGGTATAGTATTTTGTGCTGCGTTTCGCTTTAGTTCCATCTGGTAAGAAAGAGCAAAAGTAGCGGGGAGAAATGCTAGTCGCGCGGACTCGAAGCACTATTCACTGTCGTAGCAGCGGAAAGACAAAAATATGTTTAAGACAGCATATATTTGTCCACTCTGCATCAGCGTTCTCAACAAACTTACTAAATTACAACGCAGAATAGCAACTTATCCGAAGAACTCAGAAAAGCTGGTTTTTAAGCACATCCTTAGGGCCTGCGCTGCGTTAAGTGGGAGCACGGAGCGATTATTTCATAAAGCAGCGCTGCGTAAAGAGGATTCTATGAAATGACATAAAAACTGCACACGGACCGGGCGTCCACTCCGTGACCCGCTTAACGCAGCGCAGGCTCTTAAAAGCCACTCTTTCTTATGCGAGATTGTTTGAAACGGCAGATGTTAATTTCTCAAGTCAAACAAAAGTTGAAAATATGAAAGCGTTATTTGAATTTGCAATATACTTTATGTAAGGGTAAAAGGTTGTAGGCATATGGCCCTAGAAAATGGCATCCACCATAGCCAATAGTATACTAAAGACACTAACAATTGTTTTTTATAAGGATCCTCACTTCCTGAGTGTTGGACCACGATGCGAGTGTAACCTTTCAAATAAAAAGACAGCAGCTCCTCTAGCAGCCGTACTACAACATTTTAAGATTCAGCGATTTATCAACAATGAACTGTCAAAATCCAATGGAATTTAATCAAACAATCAATATTTCCTTTGCTACGAGATATTTGTGGCATCAACCGAACTACGTCGTAGTGGCACCGTAGTAATTCGCCCTTCGTAGCTAATACTGCTACGAGGCGTAGTTTTTGTTACTACAGAGATAAAAAAAAATGTTATAACATACAGTATTGAATTAAAATTATAATGTACCTAGGTATATTAACTTTTGGAATAACATTATTATTAGAATAGGTTTCAGAAATATTTATTTCATGTTATGATTACAAAAATTCTATAAAGAACAAATAATGAGCCATAGAAGGGCATAGCATAAACGCGATGTATTATTTTTTTCTGAATTTTTCAAGTAGATTTCGAATCAATTTATTGAATTTTAAAGCATTATATGATAAGTGCTTCAGATATTAACAAATTAATTTAGAGTTAAGTCATAATATTACGGAAATCAGGAATAATGAATGTACCACAAATGTACGATCTGATGTCTTGTCAATTCTGCTACGTTAAAGTAATAATCGTGTATCAAAGGCGTTTCGTAGTTTTGATTTTTGACACAGAGTTACTAAAACATAAAATTACAAATACATCTGCTTACTCATTTGTTATTGTTATCTATATGCCTTTTTTGTGTAAAGTAGTAACAAGAACTATGTAAAAAATCTATACCACTGAACAAATATTGAGATACAATTTTGTTGTTAGCATAGCAGAATCGACACCCAGGGCTGTGACAATGTAGTAAAGGTACATTGAATGACAGGTGAGGTGATCAAAACCTTAGACCTCAGTATTAATTTTAGCCATTTAAGCCATTCGACCGCGAGTACCTTACGTTACAGGAGAGTGGATTGAAAAGTGGGATACAGCCGAGGCGAGGGGGGTGCAGGAGCGAGAGTGACAATCGAAGCACGTCGTCATGAAAGTTCGTCTGTACTTCAGTTGAGCTAGGAAGTCGCATGTATACATCCCGGCAAAGTTCTTGAGCAACGATCATAGAGAAGAAAGCATGTGCAGTAGCAATTTTACTTAAAAAAAACCCTCCACTGTGCAAGTTGATTTGTCTGTGGTTTTGCTCAAGAAGTTTGCCGTGACCTGTACCTGATGTGCAGTAGATTAAAGGAGAGCGAACGCTGCCGGTGGCGAAGGGTGAGGTGCTAATGGCAGCGGCGGCGGAAGCGGTGTTGGCCAGCGGCAAGATGTTGCTTTGAAAACTGTCTGTAAAGCCAGCTGAGGAAGGAGGTTGTAAGTAAACTATACCGGATGTGCGGCAATAGAGAATAGAGCGGAGTCAAAAGGTGCAAACAGTGCCAACGGCGAAAAAAGTTGCAGTGAGAGCGGCAAGGCAGCGAAGGCGGTGTTGGCCACCGGCAAGATGCCGCTATGAAAACAAAATCGGTTGAGGAAGAATGTTGCAAGTACTTGATGTGCAGCAGCTGACAGCAGAGCGGAGTCGAAAGGAGCGAACGCTGCAGGCGGTGAAGTGTGAGGTGCGAGTGGCAGCGGTGGCGGAGGCGGCGGCGGCGCGCGCGGCACTGCCGACAGCCGCGGCACCGACACGTACGGCGCTACGCGGCACGGCTCTAGGGGCGTGCCGCCACCGCTTACTAGCAGGCCTGCGCAAATTATGTAATTTAATTAATAACATTAATAATAAACACAAAGCTTAGGTGGGTGAAACCGAGAATTTTAACACATTTCATGGCCTCCAAAGAAACCTTCTTGTTTTTATAGAAAGTTTCTAAATTCCCTATTTAGAAACTTTCTATAAAAACAAGGTTTCTTTGGAGGCCATGAAATGTGTTTCTTTGTAAAACTATATTGTCTTTATCCAGCATAGCCAACTGTCAAAGTCTCAATATTGTCGTACACAACCGTATAAATTAAATAAAAAAAAAATGTGTAAATCCACCGTGCATTTTAGTACCTTGCTCACTTTGAGGTTAATTAAGAAAAAGACATTGTTAATTACTGGTCGATTTATCATTCCTATAATAGAAGAATATAAATCTACGCAGACTTACGTATTGCTTGCAAACTAAGGCTATCTAATATTGATATTTTGCTAATTGTTTAATGTTATGCGACATATAATCCATTGCGCAACTTTTGTTGCGCAACCAATTACAGTTTATCAGTCACATTTTGTGTTTTTTCGCATTTTTTAAAGAAAGCTTGAGATTTTTGCAAAGATTTTAACTGCGCATGATTCTTGAAAATGCGGGAGATCTTATAGTGCTTATTTTTATAGAAAATATAATGTAAATTGTGAGGTAACGCTTGTATACTTTTACGCACTTTTTTACTTTTGCGTCACTATTGCGAGACCAGTTGCGAAATTATTGCGTCACTACTATTGCGCTCCCAAAACAAGGTCGTGGTACACTAGTTTCAGAAGCATTGCAGTTTTTTATGCGTTTTGATTTTTTTAAATTATTTTGGAAGTATATAGGTTCATTAGTTAAACATTAGTATTTCGTTAAGTTCATGTGCCAATATTTTATTTTTAATATTTGATTTATGTTTACATGATTTTATAACAAAGTAGGTACATAGTTAAAGTAGAAAAAACTAGCTCTTTTCGAATACATGGAACACAAAAAAACATTTGTATGCAAAATAACTGTGTTCGCAATCCCTCACAATATTTGACTGCAGCTCAAAGAACGAAAGTGTCTTTTGGTGCAATAGGTACTATGCTAACCGGATTCAACGAAGGGACAGCGTAGAACAATGTGACAGGTGACGAAATACGGATAAGCATAGATAAATGATTGGTGTCGCTTAGCGAGACCAATCATTTATCTATGCGGATCTAGGATTCCAAAACAAAGTATTGGGTCTTTTGATGTGAGCCGAAACTAGAGTATACGGTCTGCTTATATTCCCACCGATTCCGTCGGCCCGAGCACGTCTTAGAATACCCTGACGTCGAACACATCCGCGCTAACGCGCCTCCGACTCCTCCCACGGGCCACAAATACCAATACTTCACTGCTAGCTAACTTGCACACTAGCTTAGCATTAGGCAGACACCGCACCCGTAGGATAAGAGTGCGAAGACCCGGTCTACACACGATACGCTATACCTAGGCACACGCCATTTCTCGGCTTGAGGTCTCTCTAGGATCTCGCCGTCTCCAAACCCGGTGACACTGTGATCATGTCATTTGCGACCAACAGTATACTAATACTCACCATAAAATAAAGGTTTGTTTATTAGCGGTTGTTTGTTAATCTTTTTATAAAACTAAAAAAGAAGAAAAAGCGACATTGTTCACCTGACTGTCGTTTATCCTTCGTTTAGAAGATTATCGTACAGTGAGTAGCAAGTATATATGATGATTTGTTTGGTGCAAGTTTTTGAGAAACTATCTAAAAATAATCAACACTGGAACGCGCATTTATTTGAACGCGCATTTATTTGGTGGTTTCAAGTTCTTAAACGACCAAAAAATTGATTTTGGGTTTTTGTACTATTTTTGTTATACTCGTACATTGCGCTATCTTATTTGGCCACTATGTGGTCCTTAATTGCCATAGATATTATTTCTTATATTAATCTCGTAGAAACCTATTTAAATTTTTTGCCAGTTACCAAAAAGATGGCGCTGTAGTCTGCTGAATGGCGCAAAAGTTGCGTTACTCCAAATACCTAAACCAATTGTTTAAGAATTTTCAAGTAACGGACAGACTGCGGAAAGTAATAAGGTTCCGTTTTTGGTTTTTTTGTATGACGACTTTCATGCACCAGTCATCAAAGTAACATCATTACTAATTTAGCAGAAAATAGAATCACCGATTGCACCGATGCATTCATACATTCATTAAGTGTAAACGCAACTTTATCAAGCCTATAATTGACTGGTTATTCAATCAACGTTTTCCAAGTGGCAATTTTCCATCGTCAATGGATAGCGGTTCTGGCGACAGATTGGTGAAATGGTGTCATATATGGTGTCGCACCTGGTTTTGTATCCTTGAGTACACTTCAACGGCCAAGTCACACAACATTAACTATAATAATAAAGAAATCGCAGTAAGGATCCTTAGACTTGGCACGAATTTGTCTAGATTTCATTACTTTTTAGAGATAAACAAGCAGCTCCATCGAGACTTGGCTAGTTTTTTACAGAATGTTTTTGGTGGGATTTCACATCTTTTTGTAGAAACGTGGGCATATTGATTTATTTTATTAGATTTTCTTATTTGACACATTTTTTTCTTTTTAGGAGTACTTAGTCTTTTTATTATTACAAATCTTTCTTTTCTTTTTTTCCGGTTCTGTTTCTTGAACAGTAGCAACAGTTTTTCGTATTGTCCATTGGCGTTCTTTATTTATTCTTTTAGACGGTTTAATTTCTGAAAGATCGGTGCGGTATTTACGCCTAAGCCACTCTTGCTTTATACTCTTGAAGTCAACATATATGAGGTGCACCCCATGAAGATTGGTTACTCGTGAAAGCGCCACGTACTTAGGCTTGGCCACAAGAGAATATGGAGGTGCCAATGTCTATGAGGGCATTTTTTAGACTTAGACCTTGGTATCACCGCCACCCTTAGTCCAATGCATTATATTTTGACCAAATTTTGAGCGAAATTAATATTTTAGTGTAATTTGTTTATTTAATTTGTGTAATGTTCGAGTAGAATAAAGTTAATCGTTCGACTATTTTTTCTTGTAAACTACACACATCAAAAGTGTCTAGGGATCAAGCATTTTTATGCGGATTTCTTGAGATTGAGATGTGGCTTTGTAATAAATTTATGATTTTATAAATTTATATGGATCCTTTTTGGTGCATTTCATAATTTGAATCAGGAACTGTGAATCAAATTCGAGTAAAAGATGAAAATCAGCTGTCAATATTTTCCCTATAAAAACATACAACGCATTGAAGACATTATTAGTGCTACTGTTTCCCTACTACTGATTAAAACCAACGTTATTATGGAGCGGCGACGTCATTTAAGCAGGGAAGAAATGCTCAGAGCCGTGGGAATGATAGAAGCTGGTTCCCGGCAACGTACTGTGGCTTTAGCTCTGAATACAAGTCAGAGTGTTATCAGTCGACTTTGGACACGATACCGAAGCACTGGTACCGTGGCTGAGCGCCATGGAGGACGGTATCGCTGCACCACACGGAGACAAGACCGATACATTCAAATCTTAACTCGAAGAGCTCCAACAATAACCGCCATGATGTTAGCCGTGAGGCTTCATCACTCTTCAGGGAACTTAATTAGCGACCAAACAGTCAGAAACCGCTTGCATGAAGTGAACCTTCATTCCCGAAGACCGCTACGGGTACCACCTATAGCAATGCACAATCGTAGGATTCGATATCAATGGGCTCTTGAACACAGAAATTGGGCAGAAGAACAATGGCGTTTCGTGTGCTTTTCTGATGAGTCTCGTTTTGGTATGAGACCGGATACAAGACGTATACGACACTGGAGAACCCCTGGACGCCAACAGCGATTAAAATCCTGCCAGGAAGTCCATCCTTATAGTGGTGGAACCATCATGGTATGGGCGGGTATTTGGATCGGCGGAAGAACTGAGTTGATTTGGATCAGAGGCAACCTCAACGCTCAAATTTATGCTGAGACGATTGTATCAGACGTCATCGTTCCTCTACAAGTGCAAATCGGTCCCTTATTTCAGTTAATGCATGATAATGCACGACCGCACACCGCAAGAGTTGTAAGACAGACTCTCGCCGCAGCTAACATCAATGTCCTGCCCTGGCCTGCTCAGTCGCCAGACTTGAACCCGATTGAGCATGCATGGGATATGCTACAGAGAAGAGCTCTGCCGAATATGGAGGGTATCCAGTCGCAAGAAGACCTTTTTTTGTTGTTGCAACGAACATGGGCGGCCATTCCACAGCGTGATTTGGATGAACTCATTTTGAGTATGCCAAACCGATGTTCTTGTGTTGTTAGTGTTCGCGGTAGAAATACGGATTATTAATTGTTTAAGTTACCCAATAAAATTTTAGAGAAAACTGTTATTTCAGTCTTTTTTTCGAACTTTTGTGTTAGTGGTTCAAATGTCAAAAATCCCTTTATTAGGAAAATGGCAAATTTCTTTATTAATGCAAAGGTGACTTGGTTTATCGTTACTGTGACAAACGAAAACACTTTATTTGATGAATCCTTAAAGAAAATTTTAATTAATATCAATCAGGAGAAAAGTTATTGCAAAAATATATGTTGATCCCTAGACACTTTTGATGTGTGTATTAAGTATAAGTATAAAATCCAGTCTAGTGTTATCCAGAGTTTTCCTTTAATTTTAATTATTTGCGTATTAAAAGTAGAAGGGGAGGCATTCGCCCAGCAGTGGGACGCTATAGGCTAGATTAAATTAAAAGATGTGTCCCACTACGCTAGATTTTGCAATGACAGTCGAAGAAGGGGGCATTACCATATCTCTAATACAGCTGAGACCAGCTGAGGGTACTTCATCAAATACTTCAGACCTTCGATTTTTGACATCAAATGAAGCGGCCCACCAAGTTGAATATTTTTTGTGAAGGCGGTATGCCGATCTCTTCTAATAGTTTGGTTGGGCTCTTGTGTTTTCTAATCAGGGTCACCAGGTACTTCA